ATTTGCACCTCTAGCTTGCAAATGGAAGAACCACGGTTTAAATCTTAGCCCGGGTACACTTCGTGTTTCACATTTTCTGGCTTCGAAATTTTGAATAAACTGTACAACTTAAATGTATGAATAAAAATAAATGAAGCAAAAATCTAACGGAAGCTTAAAAATACATTACTAATATCTAGATTAAATATAACCGAAGATCATCCGCATATTCCGAAAATCTTGAAAATTGGAATATCGTTTTCTTGTAGACCAGAAACACAGTTATTTCACTGCAAGTAAAGGAGTATCCTTTCTTCCTTTATTGCAGCATTTTATTTGAACAAAATTTACGTATTTTAAATAAAAGTAAATATAATTTCGGTAAACGAAATCAGAGAACACTCTTTCTTCAGCAAAATAATTAATAAATAATGCTATTGTTAATTTATCAAACATATGAGTCATCACTATTTTACTATATGAAGTCATGAAATTAAAATGAATAATAGATAATTCCACTGTTATAATTCTAAATTATATCGCATTAATAATAAATTTACTAAAAAGAAATCAAGAAATTTAAATTAACAGCAATTAATGCCACTGTTTATTTGCTCAAACATATAATTAATAATAATTTTACCAAAATGAAATCATGAAATTTAAATAAATTTCTTCTTCTGTCTCTTAAATCATATCTTCACTTTAATACCTCTAAAACTTAAAAATTTTAAAAACAATTTATTTCTCAGGGTTTATGTCAAAAAAAAAAAAAAAAAAAAAAAAAAAAAAATGGAAGAATGCTGTCAAAAATAGTATGAATCGGGAATGAAATGCCAGAGTTTTTATTTGTATCGTAAAAATAGAAAAGTAGGCCAGAACGTCAAAAAACTATGATTTATCCATTTGTTAGACATTACTGTCATTTTCAATAACAGACATAAAAAAATATTTTAGAACGCGGAAATGTGGTCTGTAATTCGAAAAACTCTAGCTATATATCTGAAGCCTGAATTTTCTCTTTAAATGTTAGAAATTTTAATCTTTTCAATACTTTGTTCCGCTTCAGTTTGCCGAAATTAAATCGAGTTCATCGATGAATATATAAAACGGCCTCCTATATCCACCTTTGCAATAATAATTTCCTATTAAAATTTTTAAAAATGCACAAAAATATTACATTCAGGTATTTAAAAATGTGCATTAGAATGTACATAATAATTCAAGTATTATAACATTTAATATTATTAATATATAATCTGTAACGATAATTAACATGTATTGCTGAAGAAGCCAAAAAGATTCAGCGCACTTTTCTTTATCATTGAATTTTAGCGTCAAATTACAAGCGTCATTGAATTTTAGCGTCAAGTTCAAATGCTTTACAAATAATTTGTGTTTTTGTAATCCTACACATATAATTTCTTAAGCACATGCAGAATCGAATTTTTTTACCCTTTCTTATTAGCCCAAAGAGCGTTAGCCCAGAAGTGCTATTAATTTCGTTTCGGCATTTTGCGCTCATTCACTTTTCAAACTGTTGCCACCAAATATTACAACCCTGTATTATATTTAACGAAATTAAATAATGAAGAATCTGAATAAACATATGCAAGTTTCTCGCACTGTGATAAAACAACGGTACCTAGAGCCATCAAATTTTGAATAACGTAATCCTCCATCGAATATGGAAACTCGAATTTGGAATTTGTTTTATTATCTATTTCATATTTTGTCAGACATTAAAGAATTTTGGATTAACAAACTCAAGGATTTCCAAGCGAGCAAAGGCAACACTGTATATAAAAAACAAAAACATTTTTATTTCCGGCTTTCGGGACTGTGTATCTGAAATTTTAGAGATATGCTCATTTTAAAATTACTTTGCGATATTGCTGTTGAATTGAATTTTATGGTCTAAGTTCGAAGAATATGATATTTGATAAATAAAGGTAGCACACAAAAGTTAAAAAAGCGCCCTTTTGGGCGTAATGCAAAATCTGAAAACTTTAAGATTATTTTTTTACCATTTGATATGCTTATTTCTAGTTTTTAATTTATTCTGATTTTTTTTGAAGTCTCCATAGTAAGAAACTTAAAAGAAACTTTCAATGAGCGAAAACGTATAATTACAACAAAGAATAAATATTGATATTATTGCTTATTTATTTCGTTTAATATTTGACGAATGTATTTTTAATATCGTAAATCCTAATTAGAGCCTTGATACTGTTCACGGAGTCATTAAAATGACGCGCTCCGACATGATACCTCGGAGTGAGGCCATGACAGAAACATGAATTGACAATTCAAATAGACGATTTCTCAGAGCAAAAAGGCATATTATATATCCCTGGTACTGCATATTAAGCTTATATGGCTGTATGTATGTAAGTATTTCTTGAGTACTATTTTTCCCAATCGAAAACATTAAAGACGTTTTTCTTAAGACACAAGTTTTCATGCACGGTGCAGCTAATATATTCTTTAATTTAACACTGCCGGCCGTCAAAATTGCAACACCAAGAAGGAATGGTCTGACGAACGTCAAAATTACATGAAAGGAAGAAGTTGGGATATGCAGATGGTGGAGGTAGCTCAGAATGCCGTGCTATGACTCGAATAAGAAGAGGAAATGCTTACCAGCAAGTTTTGAAATTCGATAAAGGCAGGATCGTTGCCTATCGAAAGTGTAGATTATCTTTCCGAGATATCGCTGATCGCGATGGTCGACATCCAGTTACTGTCATGCGAATATAGAACAATAGGTTGCTGAGGATCGGTTACAGCCGAAAACATCGCGGAGAAAACAACGCAAGGCAAAAACGTCGTGCTACAAAACATCGTGGGAGAAAACATCGCAACGAGAAAACATCGCAGTTCTGAAACATCGTGGTACAAAACATCGTCGTCGAAAATAAAGCGGTTCAAAAACTTCGCAGTTTAAAAACATCGTCGTCGAAAATATCGTGGTAAAAATAAAGTATCTACAAATCATCGCATGACTATAACATCGCAGACATGCTTCTTTCAGGCTTTAATAACTGTAAATGGATATTCCCATATTGATTTGTGATCGCAAGATGGAAAGAAGGATAATTTTTTACTTTCATACTTTTTTCTTAACTAATAAATTTTTGCTGAGAAAATAAGAAGGAAACTTAACCATAGAAAATTAATGCAACTTATAGCACTTAATTCAATTTTAAACTGACATTGTTAACTAACAAAGGCCGTTAATAAATAATTTTTATAAAGTTTTTACTGGTAATGTTTCATGAAAAGTATAATCTATAATTTGCATTTAATTTTTTAGGCTTAAGTTTCCTTCTTACTTTTTCAGCAAACATTTATTAGTTAATAAAATAGTGAAAATAAAATTATCCTTCTTTACATACTGCGCTCACAAATCATTATGGGAATATCCATTTACAATAATTAAAAACCTGAAAAAAGCATGTCTGCGAAGTTATCGTCATGCGATGATTTGTAGATACTTTATTTTTTACCACGATATTTTCGACGACGATGTTTTTAAACAGCGAAGTTTTTGAACCGCTTGATTTTGAACCGCTTTTTTTTCGACGACGATGTTTTGTAGCACGATGTTTTAGAACTGCGATGTTTTCTCCCACGATGTTTTGTAGCACGACGTTTTCGCCTTGCGTTGTTTTCTCCGCGACGTTTTCGTCCGCGATGTTTTTGCCGCGATGTTATCGGCGGACACCTGAGGATCATACTGAACGGCATGCAGGATCCAACCCCCTCTCATGACTAATGCCAGAGAGGACAGTCATACATTGAGGTCAGCCCTGCAAAACCATACGACCACATCACGGACCACTAGTCAGGAAATGGGCATGTTTACAGCACGCCCAATATCAGAATGAAAGGTGCGTCGACGTTTGCAACAGCATAGACAGCAGTGTGACCATTACTTCGGCTTCCTTAACAATGCAGCATAGAGAGAGACGGCGACTCTGGTGCGCCGAACTATAAAGCTGGATACAGGAGTGGCACAATGTTGCGTTTTCAATCGAGTCCTGATTCTACGTGCAGTATGCTTTGAGGAGACCGCACGTCAACTGCTTGCATTCGATATCGGCATAGGGGCCCTTCACCTAGTGTAACGGTTTGGGCAGCGACTGGGTACACGACGCGCACATCTCTGGATCGGATCGACGGTAATTGGACGCCAGATCGGTATATTTCTGACATCTTACGTCCAGTGGTTGTGCCCCATCTTCGAGGTCCCAGAAAGATAATGCAAGACCATATGCTGCATGTAGTGTTCTGAATTTCTTCGATACACAGGTGACAGGTGAATGCAGGTCCCGGACACCCGGACGGCCTAATATGACAAATCGGGTGTCGTCCGGTACCCGCACCTATTTAGAACAACACAACCCTGGCGACTTCCTGAAAGGGCTGCATCGGAAATATATTAATGGAGAATATGTGGTATTTGACGTGGCCAAACAAGGGCGTGTGCATATATATGCTTCAGTATACAATTAATAAAAAGTTTCATACATAGGTACATTGGTGGGTATAGGTACATTGGATACATATGTATATTGGTCTAAGGGGTTAATGAGATAGGCAAAGAATAAACACTTATACATTAAAAGAAATGAAACACTGACGCAACTGGCGCAATAATGCAGAAGATGACAATTAATGAATACACGTAATCGTGTGTCATCCTATATGACTATACATAAACTACTAGAAATGATATGCATAAACACATACGAATGATGGCGATAAATGAAAACACATAATCATACATTATTCTACTGGACTATACACACATCAATAAAAATGATACATACACACCTATACGTTGACAGAAATGATACACTGAGAATGAACAATTCCACAAATATATTCGAGAACATATATGCTAAATGAATTGATTTTTGAATTTCGTACTTATGTAAATCAAGATATGTGCCAGCAAATATGGAGAGTAGTTATAAAATCAGTTTTCAGGAGCAAAAATACATTATAAATTATACCTGATATTCTCGCTGATATTCATTCTGCCTGGTGATGGGATTTTTGACTGACTTCTGCTTCATCCTCTGGGAGATCTCTGAAACAGGAAACCATGTCTGACCGCTGATCAATGCTTCTTCTAGGGTCTCGTAAATAAACTTATACTGATTCTGGAAAAGGACAAAAAACATCAAATTATAGCTTAGCGTCTTAGAAAATTATATTTGGTACATATCTGGCTTAATTTTTGGAAAATTTTATAACGAAATGTTCAGATTAGGATATAAGGCTCAAGTATGCTTTTCACTTCTTTGTATGAACAAAAAAAAAAAAAAAAAAAAAAAAAAAAAAAAAAAAAATCGCGAAAAATTGCGAATATCACATTTCAATGGAAATCATATTTCACTGAAATATCGCATTAAATGGAATATCATATTTCATTGGAAATACTCCATTTTGATCGTTCCCGAATCCATTTTGACAATTTTTTTGCATGACATCTGCACGTACAGACAGAATAAACGACTCCTTTTTCCAAAACGGATTGTAAAATGGATTTAAAATGGCATAAGACACTGAACATTGAAATTTTGCACATGGACTGCTATAACATGTATTTATGCACCTCGTTTTTATAGCAATCGGCATATGTTTATATACTATATGTCAGCCTCTCATTTGCCTTTATTTTTGCAGTTGTTGGTCGCAGTCATATGTTTCCAATTACAGATGTGTTTTACAGATGTTATTTTTGCAGTTGTTGGTCGCAGTCATATGTTTCCAATTACAGATGTGTTTTACAGATGTTATTTTTGCAGTTGTTGGTCGCAGTCATATGTTTCCAATTACAGATGTGTTTTACAGATGTTATTTTTGCAGTTGTTGGTCGCAGTCATATGTTTCCAATTACAGATGTGTTTTACAGATGTTATTTTGCAGTTGTTGGTCGCAGTCATATGTTTCCAATTACAGATGTGTTTTACAGATGTTATTTTTGCAGTTGTTGGTCGCAGTCATATGTTTCCAATTACAGATGTGTTTTACAGATGTTATTTTTGCAGTTGTTGGTCGCAGTCATATGTTTCCAATTACAGATGTGTTTTACAGATGTTATTTTTGCAGTTGTTGGTCGCAGTCATATGTTTCCAATTACAGATGTGTTTTACAGATGTTATTTTTGCAGTTGTTGGTCGCAGTCATATGTTTCCAATTACAGATGTGTTTTACAGATGTTATTTTTGCAGTTGTTGGTCGCAGTCATATGTTTCCCAATTACACATGTGTTTACAGATGTTTTTTTGCAGTTGTTGGTCGCAGTCATATGTTTCCAATTACAGATGTGTTTTACAGATGTTATTTTTGCAGTTGTTGGTCGCAGTCATATGTTTCCAATTACAGATGTGTTTTACAGATGTTTTTTTATTTTTGCAGTTGTTGGTCGCAGTCATATGTTTCCAATTACAGATGTGTTTTACAGATGTTATTTTTGCAGTTGTTGGTCGCAGTCATATGTTTCCAATTACAGATGTGTTTTACAGATGTTATTTTTGCAGTTGTTGGTCGCAGTCATATGTTTCCAATTACAGATGTGTTTTACAGATGTTATTTTTGCAGTTGTTGGTCGCAGTCATATGTTTCCAATTACAGATGTGTTTTAAATGACGAAGATACTCATGTTTTGGCAATGTGAAATTAAAAAAAAATCAATTTTGAACAAATAACGAAATCTAACTTTTAATATCATCTCATGGATCGTATACAGTAAGACCCCGCTTAACGCTGTTTCGGTTTAGCGTTCTTTTATTTCAACCCTGGGATTCTTCGAAATTGTGCGCAGCGCCAGGTTTCCAAACAACATATTTGAAACTAATATAACTATACACTGACTACCAATAAGTATTTGGACACCTGTGATAGAAAAGAAAAACTAACTGTATTTACAATCAATAGTTGGTAGAGCCTCCACGAGAGATAATTACAGCGTGGACCCTCCGGGGCATACTTTCCACAAGTCTTTGTCTGACAGCTAGTGGTATTTCCTTCCACACGGCTTGGAGAAGACATAGAAGTTCCTTCACCGATTTTGCACGGGTAGTGCACCCCTGAATTGAGCGATGCAACTCGTCCCAGAGGTTCTCGATAGGGTTCAGGTCTGGACTCTGGACAGGCGAGTCCATTCGATGAACTCCATTGGCACCATACCAAACCTTGGTTAACGTCGAAACATGACAACTGGCATTGACGTCCTGAAAGTACAGGGGTCCAACCCGTAAAACTGCCACAACGTAGGAAGCACATTGTCATCCAAAATAGCGCTGTAGGCATCGGAGTCGAGCTTACCATGAATGGGGACCAAGGGTCCCAGCCCATACCAGGAGAAACACCCCCAGACCATAATTCCACCTCCGCCGAACTTGACTGTTGGCACAATGCATTCTGGCAGGAGACGTTCTCCAGGTAGACGCCAGAACCAGACCCTGCCATTAGAACGGCAAAGGGTGAACCTTGATTCGTCACTCCAAAGAACCCGTTTCCACTGATCTACGGTCCAATTTCGATGTGCTTTGCACCACATTAACCGAGCAGCGCGGTTGGACTTTGTGATCAAAGGCTTATGGGCAGCAGCACGACCATGAAAACCAAGTAGATGGGCTTCCTTACAGATGGTATTCATTGAAACAATACTCCCGGATGCCTGTTGAAACTCCTCGCGGATGAGGGCCATCGGTTGGGTGCGGTTGTTCCGAATTTCTCTGGACAGCACTCGTCGGTCTCTGTCTCCCAGTTTCGTTGGTCTGCCGACTCGGTTCACATTCCGACAATCACCGCTCACCTTCCACTTCTTAAATCACATAGGCCACTGTCAATTTTGGGTACTTCAGATCGCTAGATATGTCCCTTAAGGATCGGCCACATTTGTGATACCCGATAATTATACCTTTCTCGAAATCAGAGAGCTCCGAACTGCGAGGCATCTTGCATGCGACTAAAGCCGATGCTGTTTCCTACACAATATATACCGGCAGAGTCCGTGACGTACCTTAGGACCGCAGATATCGTCATTTGCATTATGTGTCCAAATACTTATTGGTAGTCAGTGTAAATGTGTTTCTTGTTTGGTGCGGTGCTGTACGGACGTATTTTTATCATTTCAAACATTTGTTGACATTATTGTAAGTATAAATTTATATAATACTGTAACGATTAATACAATGACAAATATTATGATCTTTAGTTTTTATCATGGGTGATAATAAAAAACAAGAAAAGAAAGTAACCAGAAAAAGCATTTCACTGGAAACTAGAATGCAAGTGATTAGAAGATCAGATTCTGGTGAACGTCAATCTCAAATTAGTGCTGCATTGAATTTGGCAACTTCAACAATAAGGACAATTCTTAAAAATAAAGAAAAAATTCTGTCATCGGCAATTGCAACTACATCAAGCTCTGCAACTAGAATTACCCGTTCTAGAAATAACATAATAGAGGAAATGGAAAAACGACTGTCTATATGGATTGACGACGAAATTGAACGCAATATGCCATTAAGCCAATCTATCATAATGCCTTCTTGACAAAAAGGCAGAAAACTGGAAACACAGAATAGAGTGAATGGTCCGACTGACTTAGAATTTTATTTGTTTTTATAAGTATATTCGTTTGTATTGTTTTTATTTTTGTAAGAAATAAATGTTTGGTTTTATTTTTATTAAAAAAACATTATTAAATTTAATACCTAACCAATTTTATATCCATCTTCCCGTAACCCCATCATTTATATGTTAAGATAGCCTCGTTTAGCGCTGTTTCGCATTACGCTCTACTTTGATCGAACGTATCCCCGCGTTAAGCGGGGTCTTACTGTAGTTACATTTGGGAAAGTTTTATATTCATATACTAACAATTATGCAGCCAGCCTCCGTCTGGCTTATAAATGTGCCGGAAAAATGCCTGAAAGGAACGTCAAACGTCAACTTTAAAAGCTGCGCAGAATTTTACTTTGCAGAACAACTTCATTAATTTAAAAAAAAAAAAAAAAAAAAAAAAAAAAAAAAAAAACAAATTTTAAAATAAATGTATTACATATAACAAAATTACAATGAAATAAGCAATATCCCTTAATACAAATATTAATTGTCCTAAGAAATAAATTAATCAATCCCGTTACCTTCTCCCAACAAACGTCCAGTATTTAATAGAAACATTAAATTTAAAAATTGCACAGAATTATCGCCCTCATTTTTCCCAGTGGCAACAGTGCTGATTTTCAACAGTCAGCAGTCCAGTATACAATTGAATTAAAAACTGTTGCCAAAACCATATTTCTAAAAGAATGGAACTTTTCAAAATCTTGCGATAAAATCGGAAAGATAAAATAAAAAAAAAAAATCTTGATTCGAATTTTGAAAAAAATCGCTTCGACGTGAACTGGGTCTCGTGTACATGCACCTACATACCAAATTTCGTAGACAAACAGACTCTTTCTTTTATTATATGTAGAGATCTATGAAAAATATAAGAAAATTACATGTATATGTAAGAAAAATAAAGAATATGTAAAAGATTAAATTAACAACGTAAATTTCGCTTTTCAATTCTAAAAATAGTAACCCCTTTCTGCACTGCGTCATTTCGAAAAAAATATATGTTATATGATTCTTAAGTAATGATGATGATGCCAATGGAACTAAAACTCAACCAGCCAATAGTTATTTTACAGCAATATTAACTGTCCAATCAAAATGCTTTGAAAACCAAAACTAAGTCAGCTTGACTTGAGATTTCATCCTGAACATTACGCACTTTCTTTCTGCGTTTTGCTTTAGCTGCACTGCTGTCTGCCTGCTGCTGCTTTCTTGCTACAAAGTTATCAAAAATGTATGCCTTTTGGAACAGTCATATTTATTGTGCCGACTTGTTTGTAGCCGTAACGTGCTGCTGAAAATATAACTGAAGATTTAATCTGCATTCGCCTCCAGTTTTTTAGTCATTATGGATCAGCAATTCTACGCCATCCAAATTCATCCTCTTGCTCCTGAATATATTAATATATATATTTTGAAGTCGGCAATTATTCTTAAAGGCGTAATTACGATGGTTGCTTTAAGAATTATTTTCGACCTCAATAGTAACTATTCTAGATTTTACGCTCTCCTCCTAAATTCATCT